GCGTATTATTTTGTTATTTTTTCAAGACGATCTCGCGATATCAATTATGCCGAAAAAATATTCCGTTTGAACACGACGGACCCATCGCGAGTTCGATCGAACGATTTCGACGCAAAACGGCGTAACTCCGTCGTCGTGAATCGCATAATTCCTAAAAGATTTTAAAAATGTACACGTTATTATTTGTTTTTGTTGTGATCGTAACACAAACACACGCGGAATACATAATTATGCGGTTTTCGAGAATAATTAGAATTAACATATTTTTAAGACACAGCTTATTCTAACAACAACGTATACAAATACATTATTATAATGTACACAACGAAAAAGTGCGGTTATATCCAGTACCGTGATAAAACGCGGTATTTATATTTTGGATATTCGCGGATATTTATTTTAAATTACTTATTTTTTTTATCTTATTACGATAAGTATACTCGGACGGATATATAACGGTTATGGCGGATATATAATTTCCAAAGTGTCATTATGGATACGTTTGTAAACCCGCAACTAAACATTTGTAATATACGTGTCACTTTTTTAATAATAAAAAAAAATAAACAAGTCAAATAGGTATGGCTTATGATACGAAATAGCGAGAGGTATAAAAAAAAATGCACAAAAAACGTCAAAAAAGCCTCGGACTTATTAAAAGTCCCCCGATCCCCTCTAACGGCTCCAACTTATAAAATACGATTTTCGAACACTACAAAAATTATTAACACAAATTTCTAAATGAAATTGTAAGTATTGTAAAACAAATATTTTGTAAGAATCGTTTGTGTTAGTGTAGTGTTAAAAATTACATTTTATGGTTGAATCTGTTTTGGTGAATAGAAGTGGAAATTTTAAAACTCTCTGAACCCCCTGTCATTTTCGCTTTTTACATTTTTTTTTTTTTAGGACTTTTTTAAAATTTTCAAACTCTTTTATGTGGATTTTTTAACAGGAGGTTCATTAAAAGTCGTACATTGTGCTCAAAAATAAAAATTGTGCGTAATGTAGTATTTTTTTTTATACAGAAATTGTAGAATTAGATTTTGATAAAAATCGAATTCTATACGAATTGTTTGAACATAATAAATTTATTTTACTACAATATCACATATACCTATATTGTTAAAAAAGCAATATTTTTAACAGAGGTCCATTTAGAATCGCTTTCGTTAACAACGATTTATCTTTGCTTGCAGATAAACATTAAATTTCCCTCTATATCTTACCTTCCTAACTTTTTATCTACAACAGTGGTCCACTCAACGTACGAAGTATGTCCGTCTTTTTTTTTCTTTTTTAATACAAAACTAAGAATTTATATACTGCATATAGGAAAAACTTTTTAATATTATATTTGTAATATTGTTTTTCGAGTAGAGTCATTGAGAGTCTAATTTTGTAAAACCTTTTACATTTTTCTCTCGAAAAACACGTGTTTTAGAATGAAAATATATTTATCTGAAAGGTCAATTTAAGCTGCAGTTCTATTTAACCGTATTGTTCTAAGCACATGGAAAAAAACAATTTTTGCTTCTAAATGGAGAGGATAATGGAGCAATATTAGTTTGTTTTTTGCTGCATTATGTATGTTTTCTTGAACTTTATAGAAGGGCAACGGAACGGACAGACAATAATATATATATACATATATACTTTTGAAAATAATGTAGTTTTTCAACTTTTTCCTAGTATCTTATAAAACTCTCTGTAAAAAAAAAAAAATCAAAAAAAAAACTATAGAAAGAATGAAAGAAATAATAAGGACGCGTTTACGATTAAATTCACAGAGAACTGCTCAGCATTCATTTATCGAATTTAATACAGTAATATGATCTTTGGGTATTTAAATTTAAAATAGCAATTTCAGGTTTTCGCGGTGTGATGATAAAGTGAATTTTTTTAGATACTTAAGAACTGTGCTGAACACTAAAAATGAATGAGCTAAGGAAATAGGAGTTAGAATAACAAAGACTGAAAGAGTATCATTTACCTTAATCAAATTCGTATAATCAACGCTTTTTAAAAAAAAAAAAAAACTGAAGCAATGTTGCGTGCGACAATAATAAGATATTTAATATTGCTATGAGGCATGGACCACACAGACTAACATAATCGAAAGAAGGCTTAAGATTTCAAAAATAAAATATGGAGGACAATATGTGGACCAGTTCATGAAAATGAAAAAGGAATGTGGAGAAATATATTTAACAAAGAACTGTAAGAAGATTTGGAAATGGCATTAGTCATAAGCTTCATAAAAGGACAAAGGATTCAGTGGCTAAGACAAGTGTTGCGGAAAAATGAGGACGATGCAAGCAGAAAAGTCCTAGAGTGGAAGGCAACGACAAAAATACCTTTAGGGTGGCCCAGGAAAAAATGGTTGGATGTGGTGGAAGAAGTCTTTGATAGATGGGGATACATGAATGGAGAGTACATACTCGAGATCGAGAAAAGTGATGGCGGTGAAAACTCTTAAAGGGTACTATTAAGCCAGATGAGAAAGAAGATAATATGAACGATATGAGACGGGTGGTTAAAATTACACGTTCGTTCTTTTCGTGAAAATATTATAGAAATGAACGTACAACAATGATGTTTATTTTTTTTTTTTCTGTGGTCAACTTTTCTAACAACAATTATTTTCCGGTTTACAATGACAGCACTTTTTCTAAAAGTGACTATGGAGGTACTACAGGGAGGCCATTTTTAGATTTTCCCAGGGAAAAAGTTAATGGGAAAACCGAGAAAATCTATAGAAAAACCCGGAAAAAACGTATGAAAAATGGGAGAATAGATACAATATTAGACAAATATTATTAGAGAAAACGTTTAATGCATAACAGGTATGCAATTATTCTACCATAATATGTTGTTGACAAAGCAACAATATAAACCGAACTCCGCTCAGAATGGTTTTTCGTTAGCAATGGGTAATTTTTGCGTACATATATGCATTAAATTCCCGTCTATATGACGTCGTCGTATTCATTAACTCGATAAAAATTAATTTTTATTTGTTTTAAAATGAAAAAAAATAAAAGAAATAACAATAAGCGGCTCTAAATTGTCAAATTATCCTTATTTTTTTTTTTTTTTTTTTATCACCCTTGTGTGTTTGTTGGTAAAACCGTATATCGCATTTTTATTTTTCAAACGATAACCTATACGTGTTAAAAACGTCATTATGCGAAAACGTCTTTTTCGGCTCCGTAAAAAATGTTCTGCGAAAAACGAAAAACCCGGACAATTTTGAATGGCGCGTTTCGTATTTAAAGATTCATACGGTCAATTCGTGTTTGTCGAAACGCGTTTTTCAACCGAACTTCGTTCAAGACGGTTTTCCGCGAGCGGTACACGCGCAATAAATCTGACTGCACAGCCCGTATAGGAACACTTAGCCGACTTTCCGTAAATTAACGTTTAACCTAACCGCGCAGACACGCGACAGCGGTGCGGCCCGCACGCGCGCGGCACGGAGGCCGAACGACGTTTTATTTAGCCGTTTAGAGTTTGAACGATACAGGGGCATAGGAGTCACCGTCGCGGTTTATTATGACATAATATTTACCGCGTAGTTAACCCGGTGACGTTCATGCGTATGGGTGCACGTGTTTTAGTCAACAGACACCGCCGGTACTCTGTACCCTGTAAAACAAGCGTTCCGCGTTTACATTTCGTTTTGATAGGACGTTACATAATCGTTTTACCGCGTCAAAAGCCGACACGTATCTATTATACGCGGCCTTTGATCTGTTTTTATACATATGCGCACGTACACTATATAGAAACGCCGGATCGCAATTTCGTTGATTCGGTCCCGTGCCCTTTTCGAAACCTGCGTCCCACGTATTACTTAACGGTAACGCGTTATTTTCGTATGTGATTCGGACGCAATCGCTGAAAAAATTTATGAAATCGCACCGTAATATTATCACGATTATTCACGAGCGCGCGATCACTATACTAGGTACGTGGGGGTGTAGGTACAGACGAAACAATCGTATTGCAATTTATAATAAAATGTATTATTAAACATTTTGCTATTTAACGCGCACGAAAAATAGTATTCCGAATATTCGTCGGAAACGTGTACGATGTACGTCGGTAGTATTTTCGATATCGTCCGAATAGAGGCGCTTTGCGAAAAGATATTTCAGGAATAAAATCAAAAAAAAAGAAAAGAAAAAACGGACATACTTTGCACGATGGGCGCAGCCACTGTTGTAGATGAGAAGTCGGGAAGGTAGTAGAGGGAACATTTAATGTGGGTATATATCTGTAAGGAACGATTAACCGTCGATAATGAAAAACGATTCTGAGCGGAGTTCGGTAAATATAGTGTGGCTTCGTCGGCAATATATATGTCATATTATGGTAAAACAATTACCTAATATGCGTTATATATTCTCTTTAATATTTTTTGTTTGATATTGTACCTATTTTCCCGTTTTCCCTGCGTACCTTTTCCCATTTATTATGAAAACATCTAGGAAAATTCACACTGGTCAAATTGCCTTTCACGAAGCTACACTTGAAAATCGGAACAAAATTTCAGATGGAAAAATTACCGGTAGAAAAAAAATAAACATCATTGTAAAACCAATACTTCCCTCGCTCCACTCAGAATCTAAAACGATCCGCTGACGGGTGTGCCAGCACTGTTATTTTTGGTGGGAACTAACTAAAAACAATTACTATTCGAGAAAAATAAAACCAAAAACAAAAGGATTCAACCGTCTCTGCTCGCTGCCTAGGGCGGCCTCTGGGCCTTTTACTGTTGATTTCACCCATCAGAATTTGTTTACAGACACCACTATCCATCCGCAACACGTCCCCGTGTTCTATTCGTTCGCTTTTGATAAATGCTTTTATGTTTGGTTCTTGACACGGCTGGTAGATTTCCTCGTCCGTTCTTTCTCGGTATTCTCCATTTTCAGTAATTGGACCGTAGATTCGACGGAGTGCTTTCCTTTCGAAAATTAATAATTATTTCTCTTCGTATCCTTTTGTCACCGACCACCACGTTTCGCAACCATACGCTATTGGATCGGACGTAGATAACTCCGAATATATGTTAATATTTGATCATACGGATATACAGGCGTCTGAATTTAAATAGTTTTACTAGTGCGAAACACAATCCTTTGTCGCGGGCTGCTGAAATCCTAAATACTATTTCATGTGTGCAGAATCAATATAAATCAACACATATATATATCAATATATAATCAATATTGTGCACAATAATAATAAATTAATATTCAAGTACTCTTTTTGGCGTTCGGTTTTATTATCGGGAAAATTTATCAGAGAGGGGCCGTGATAAATTTTCCGCGGGCGCCCGTGGAGGTTAGGTCCCTCTCCCCTCCCCCGTCGGCTTGAAAATACTTACGAACATTGAGTAATCTAATATCGAAATGCAGTGACCAGGAAAAACTAGATGTATCGATTAGAAATTGGCTTTTTTTTTTAGGATCCGGTATTTTTAATTATCGATGCCCATAGTCGGGTGCGGTAGAGAACACGATTTAACGATTTATTGGCGGTTCTTATTAATTGCGCTGCATCCCCTCACGTTGAAATTTCCCGGACACGCCACTGAACGCTCGTACACGTGCCGAGTACGCGGGGATTCCGGGACAATCTCGAGCCATGGCCAAGTTTATGTACCTGCGAGCCCGGTTTAAGAGGGGAGGTCCAGAAAGGGCCATGATCCCCGGGCCCGGAGACTCCCAGGGCCTGGGTTTTTGCCACAGTATGTTCTAAGTATAATGTATGCATTTAACCATTAACTTTTGTATTTTGATAATTTAATATTTGTTCGTTGCTTGACGATGACCAATTCGTATTGTTATGTAGTAAAAACTATTAGTTAGGATTTCATTTTCAAATTTTGTATGAAAATCGTGAATATTACGGTCTATCAAAACATATATAAACGATTACCACTCAGAAACGTCTTTCGTTCGTAATGGTTTATCGTCGCCAATAGTTATAACTTAAATAACTTTATTTATCTTAACTCATCAAATCCCAAGTTCCCACCTATAACAGTGGCACACATGTCACAGGTATCTGCTCTTTTTTTTTTTAGAAAGCACTAAATATATTTAAAACCAAATTCCGACGGAACAATATTTCTGATACCGCTTATTTCCACATATTAGTTATTATTATTGTTTTTTTTTTCGCCTACGAGCCCCGTTCTTACTAAAACTTATACGATTTTTCCCAAAAATACGAATGTATGAGACTGACATTTTCAGTAAACGCTTTCAATCAAATTAAATACACTATTAGTAGGTATTGTATAAGTGGATAAAACAATATTGTTTGCAAATCCGTTTGCTAAACAAACAAGCCGGACACTGTTGCAGACGGTTTGGCTTAACCGCTATGAAACTATGTATATAATCCCCCAGGAACCCCTCCTCCCCACTAAAAAATATTGGAAATTATTCTTGAGTTTAAAGCAATAGATTATAATTTATCGAATACCTATGGATACGATCGGCGGTATGATTAGTTTCCACTTGGACACACCGACCCCGGCTTTATAATATAATATTATTACATTGTATTATATTATTATTATAGTTTGCTGGTGCAGTATTCAAATTTCAAATTAAATTGTTGTAGCGATTTTACAGGGCAATGCATTTTTATTAACGAATCGCCGACACAGGTTATATTGAAATCATTTACTTTGATGTGTAGGGTGAATCGATCCGCGAAATTTAAATTAATTATCGTTCAAATAATGGGTACAAAATAGGTATCGGCTATATCGGCTATTCGACGATGCAGCCGATAATTTGTTTTATTATTTTTATCAGATAAATAAATATTTCTATAACACGTTCGAGCACGGATTTTTATTTTACGACATGTTTTTAGGCATATTTTGGTTGATGATCTTTACGGGTTTACGTGCTAGAGATAGTTTGCGAAGGGATGTGTAGTTGACATTACATTGTTAGCAGAAATTTCCGAAACATATCCAAAAATGTCCAACAATAGTGTGCTTGAACATTTTTGGAAGGTTTTTGGACGGTTTCAGTATACACGTAATGCTAAAGTGTAGCAAAATAAGCATTACAAAATAAAATATGAGATAGCTAAAAAAAAGAGAGCTCTAACAAATTCCAACAAGTTTCCAACTATGCCCATAAGTCTATTATAAAAATAGGAAATATTTGGAAAGGTTTATTTAAAACTGTACATACGTTTGTAAAACAGTGAGCCCCCAAAAAAAATTTTCAAAACCTGGCACCTCTGAAGTAGGTATCTAATATTTAAGATCTCAAATGGAATGCTGATTGTACCGTTTGTACGATACATACGCATAAGCGTGCGCAGACATTTTTCGCGGGTGGGGCATTCCTCTACTACTTCCCCCCCTTAAAAAGAGATTAATATGATATATATATATATATACACATACTAACATAACCTAATCTAACAAGGATGTGGAGGAAGATTAGGGGTTTTATCTTCCCCATTGACTAAAAAATACGAAAAAAATATGAGTAATCCAATATCAAAATACATATATTTCAGCCAAGTTACGAGGAAAAGCTTGACACAATAATTATAAATTGGCTTTTTTTTTTTTAATCCGGTTTTAAATTACCAATTCCCATAGTCAATGTTCACAATCTGTAATCAATATTATTGATAACGTGATGGTAAATTCAAAAACGCAGTTTTCACTACACCCGTTCAGTTTAAAAACCATTAGTTCAATATCGTATTCATAATACGTTAGTTTAACTATCAACAGTAATAAACATAAAATATAGATTATTATTATATTGGTGGTTATCAATAATAGCAATAACACCGGCTTGTAAACATTGCCGAACATTACGACGGCTGGCTTCAAGTATGAGCTTCGAATCATATATAGTTAGACGGTCATAAAATAAATTTGTGGGTTCATCAAACAAATTTAACGAATTTAGGTTATATTTTTATGATAAATTTGAGTACACGGGTGGTGCAGGATGCGCACGTGCACCACCCGTGCGTACGCCTATGCATGTACGCAAGTTTTAATGATAAATATAATACCTTGTTCGTGATCCAAAATATCTATGTAAAAACGGGCACTTAGATTCTTTATTATAATACGAAACTTTTTTTTTTTTACCAACAATTATTATACAGGTGATACTTTTTACCCGGCAAATTTATATAAAAATAAATGTGTTTAATATACATAAAAAGAAAAAGATAAAAATAGCAACTTCTCGAAGTGAATTTGTTGTCGCGGAATCGATGTCAATCGCATAACCGCGAAAATTTGGTTAACTCCTTTATAGCGAGATAGCGTATACGTGTAAAGCGAACCGGAGCTCGCAGTAAACAAAATAAGACCCCGCTGAGACTCCGCTTTGATGAAAGAAAAAAATTGAAACACTAAACCCGTTTGACAGGTTCGGCGGAATTCGATTTTGGCCAAATTGCATTGAGCGCAAAATTATTCGAATGATTGATTATATACAATTTTTTTTTCTTTTTAATCGTATGTATACCAACGACAGAAAGTTTCCGGAACGAAATAAGTTCGTATATATATTGTCCGTTCAAGACTGAACGAACATAATTCGGATCTGTTTCAAATCCGATTGAAATTGTTTTAACTAAACGGTTTCGATTATATCTCGCGTGTATCGCGACGTGATAAAAAGTGATGGAAAAAAGACCAATCGTATTTTAGCGATGTTCAATCAATAATACATAATAACATTCGTTCCGAAACTCAACAGTTTGATAAAATTTAACAGGTTATAACTCGTTCCGGAATTCAACGTTGCTATTCAATATTTTCCATCGGATCCGGCAGACTTCGAATTTACCGATTCGATTTTAGAGCAAAATTAAAATCAACATCGAAATCAGTGGCAATCAAACGATTTTGACGTGAAGGGGCGGGGATAAGGACAATTTGTATGGACTATAATTAAACAGATATAATCATAAAATTATAATTATATATTTAAGAAATATAAGGTAACGAGGTGAATATATCCCTCTCACCTCTCCCCTCACCGCCGGTTGACCGCCCTTGACCATGATAATATCATAATATTATTATTATTATTTAATTTTGATCGCATACAATTTTGCGTTTTGATCATTTCATTTAAACGGTCCGAAATTCCAAAATCTAATTTATACAAACCTTTTAAAGTCTTACATAATATTACGACACTAAAAATAATAAAATATTTTTAAGTTTTCCGAGTTTATTTTCAACGAGTCTCGCATAAATATATGAAATAGCAGTAATAAAAAAGTTTTTTTTTTTAAATTTTTCAATTGAGGGGATTGTCGTGATATCTCCGCGACTTTTTTTTTTGTTTTTTTACAACGATTCAAACGTCTGGTCTAGTAAATATTATAATACGACAATTATTCATGTTATTTTAATCTGATCGAGTATATAAATAAGTACCAAAAAAAAGTTATATGTTTTAGCAGTTTTTCACAGTGAATACAAGCAAGGAACGTATAGGTATTTTTTTAAAATGGAAGAATTCAAATAGATTACACCAAGGAGAAAGAGGGGGTATGATAGCCCCCCTCTCAAGGACTATCTGGATCGGCAATATTGAGTTTTTTTTTTTTTTATTATTATTAAATTTAAAGAAGATTTTTTATTACTCCATGTTAATTTAATGGCGCAACAGTCAATTAAGTGGTTTTGAGATGCCTGTAGAGTCTATTAACGTTTTACATCTGACTATACAATATTCACATGCGTGCACAGCTAAACCACATTCCGCATGTGTATTATAATCTATGGAGTGGACCATAATAATACCATCGTATTGTTAAAGTAAAGTCAACGGTTTTAACGAAAATCTCGGAAAATCCTAAATACAGCGGAATACCTCGATGAGTCGAAATTCAATGGAAATGCAATTTCTTCGACCCATCATCGAGGTTTTCGATCTAATACGGTTTTGAGACATCAAGATTGTTGGAAAGAAATTCAACTTAAAGAGTTTTTAAAATGTTTGCACGCGTTACAATCGAATTATTTTTAATACTATTATTTAGCATCGAATGAAAAACGCGATAATACACACGATAAACGCGATTGGGACGCAAATTATGGGACGCACATGCTGATTAGACAAATGATTATAACAAATAACCCGTTATTGTCCGTCTATATTCGGAACACTGAATGTTCGAGTCATCTATTAGAATTTTTTATTTCGAGTAATCGAGGTTCCACTGTATTGTATATACTTTACACGGGGAAAAAATGGGAATGAAGGACCAGACTTGCATGTCCTATGTATGCCCTCCCCCCTCATTAATAAGCCTCTCAATACAATTGAGGTATAATATTTTTCAACGGATTTACGTTATCGCGACTGTATCTGCGAGCAGCATATAACAACATATAAAGGTGCATTATTGTTGTACACGTGGGGTTCGTCGTAATCACGGAACGAAGTAAAACTATGAATACGGGTCACACGAATATCGCGTCAACCACACTTATAATAATGATGGATTAACCTGTATAAAAAGTTTATAAAAAAAAAAAATTTCCATACCTACTTAAAAAAAAAATGATTGAGGAAATATACAAACTGCAGTGCACAACCCGTTCGAATTTCCCACGCCCAATTTGTTCATGACTATATTCTTCCCTGCAGTGGTGCTAAACGTCAAAGATACATTTTTTGAAAAATGAGAACGGATGCGTAATTCGAAATTTTGATTTGCAGGAAATCGCTAAACATAATAATAGTATAATATTTTAGTTTGAAATTGACATTCAGGCATTCATCGAAAAAATATAAACGTTCCCAAACAATTTTTATGATCTTAAAAACATCAGTTCACTGTTCGGTTAATCGATGAAAAATATCGGAAAACGTTCAAAATTTAAGGATATATTTCTATAGAGGAGTGACCATCGATAAAAAAAAAAGATCAGAGTGATCGAGATTTTTTTTTTTATTTTTAAGCATTTCCTACGTTATCCAATATTTTTTTTTCGGAAAACAAATGGAGGGGATGGCTATCAAAACGTGTAAAATCAAAGCTGAAATTTTCATCGATTACCAATGTATTAGTTAAAAAGACGCCCTAGGATAATGGAGTCGGGTGCAGCCACTGCAGCCACCCTTGCTTGCAATTGTAACAGACCTCTCGTAATATGCCGGTATTCCGCTGAAATTGGCACAGCTACGACTAACACTGGCTGGTCCACGACTGAAATTCCTTCGGTATCAGCATTGTACCAGTATTGAGCCGACTGGTCGTCAGTGATAAAGTAGTAGTGGATAAAATTGTGGTCAGTATTATACCCGTAAGGGCCAGCCAACTGTTGGGTAATTAGTACAGGCGTAGTACTGCGCCCTTTGTGAGTGTCGGCGTTAGTCATATATTTCCGATTGGGTATTGTTCGATTTCCAGTCGTGGTAAAATTACAGATATAAATTAAACGACCCTACGTAATATATTTTAATTACAAACCTTATCGACTTCTCGCCTACAGTAGTGACACGCCCATCAACCATGGGCATGGGTGCCAAGTGTTGGGGTGCTGCGGTGCTCGAGCACTCCATGGTCCATTTCATGGGGTGCGGGGTACCCCATAAAATAAACAAAATATATAAATATTTAATACATTAACATTATACATGTAAAAATAATAATTTTTGTTTGATATATGATTTGGTTTTATTTTGTTATTTTAGTGGTGTCGTCGACGTCCATCCACGACGACTGCGATGATAACGTTTTATATTTAGGTACGTTTTAATAAATCCTGAAAAGTAGAAAACTTTATAGCGAATCCTAACAAAATAAATACATTTATTATAACTGAATACTATGGCTCCGATTTCGATTGGGATAAATTAGAATTACATCGCTGTAATATTATGATGGATGTTGCCAAAGCAAAAAAGTTTAATTTATCATCAGTGTCAGACGCAATTGATCTTTTCGAAACAAGAGTTGTGTATTTACAATATTTGGTGCCAGAGTTGATTAAATTAATTCAAATTATGTTAATCGTACCAGTATCATCGTGTACAGCTGAGCGTTCTTTGGAGGAAGCTAGGGGGTATTCAGCACTACCAGGCTTCAAATTAGCACCCCTAGTTTCCCTGACTAATTTATTTCAGTACTTCACCAATAATTTGTAAACGATTGTGGTTTATTAATTTTGATAAAATATTTATTTTTTCCATTACAAGTTCACGGATTTACGATCAAAACGCTAAAGTAATCATACAGGAAATCATACTTTATACTTACGCCATCTAACCAACGGTTAACTATACGAAATTATGTTCTATTTGTAACTGAGGTTTTATAAAAATTTTAAATTATTGTAATGTAGTTGATTATGGTAGTAATTAGGGTGTGGAAGACGAAGCTCTTCGCGAATATGTGTACCATAAATAATTCCATCACCCCTAAATTCACGCTCGATAAGCTCCAATGCCAACAGCAATAGTGAATATCGACTTACGATTAACTACTTTTGTAACGTCATAATATATTAATTTGTTAATCGTTTCGTTTTTTCGATTGAAAAAAAAAAAAAAAAAAAAAAACGATTTCCTTAACATATAATAGTAATGTAATTTTCGTCGAAAATATAAATCGAAAGCGATTGTGTCTCGTCGTCAATGCGCCCGGAATAGAATATAAGTTGACGTAAACAAGAAAATAATGAAAAAATATAAAACGTATAGGTACGGAAAACTCATTTCGCGGGGCACTCATTTTATCACTCACTTTGACGCGCGATGGTGTTGTATTATTATATAAATTATTTACAAACGACCGGAAATTCGTCTAATAATTATTTCGAACGTATAATATCTCAGTCGTTATTACGACGTAGTGTTTTCGCGTGCAATTTATTTATTTATTTATAATAATTAGGGTTCGGACATTTATGTACGTAAAATAACTGTAATAGGTGCGTAGGTATGCATTTATACGCTTAATAATTACCAAACATGCACTACAAATCATAAAATATGCATTCGTAGTTATAAAAAAAAAAAGAAAAAAGAAAAACACCAAAATATGCAAGACAACTTTTATTTTACATTTAGTATTTCATTTTTATTAGTAGTTTTTTTTAGTAGGTAGGTAATTTTTTTTCTTTATTATTTTTTTAATATTACATATTAATTTACAATAAAAGCGTGTTATATAGTGTGATACAATGGTTTTTTTTAATTTGTTCAAATTGTATGCTTTTTCCTTTAAATTTCGTTATAATTTAAATTGTTTTTGTAAAAGTTCGAAATTGTACTGAAATAATATGCATTTATATTCTTAAAACCCTAAAATATGTATTTAAAATACATAACTCTAAAATATGCAAAATAAAAATAGTATTATTTCAGTAGAATATAAATCAAATGTCATCCGAATCAGCATTGAATTGGATAAAAAGAAAAAAAAATATGCAATGTCATAAACATCCGGACCTTAATAATTAACACCCGTAAGTGGTAAATGTACGGCGAATTTCTTAACAATAATTTAACACATAAATACGCATAAATAAACATAAATACAGTTTTGTATGACAAGTAAAGTCAATTTAATGTGTATACCATTTCAACGGGGTAATATTGAATAAAAATAAAAATCCAAAATTAGTTCGTTACGCGACTTAGGCACATAGGCGTGCGCAGACTTTTTACGCAGAAGATGCCAGTAGGCAGGTATATTTCAAAATAGACGAATTTTTAACTATACGTCATTATAAAAACATAAATCAGAATTTTTTTTACACAACTATAAAGTTCACAACAATGGTTAATATGTATTATAGTGCAAATTATGATAGTGTTGATTATTTTCGCGCGAATAATGTCAGATAATCAGACTGTTTTATGGTCAATAGTTATCTGCAACTCTGCAAGGTAACATGAATGGTTACGCGACCGACGTCGATATGATATCCCGACATTCCCAATTCCCATTATTACTAAAATGTGTTTGATGAAAATCACGATTAAAGATATTTTATCTATAGTCGTGATGAAAATGTATAAAACATAAAACGGAAATCAACTTTGAACATTTCTTAACTGATTACTGTTTATAACACGGTTTATAAAACACCTCATTAAATAGTAATAAAAGAACAAAAAACTACTCCGCAGACCGCATGGGATGCCGTGGCATACCCGGCATCTCCTCTGCGCACGCCTATGGTTAGGCAAGCCGGCACATCGGACTATTAGCTATAATACTGGAACTAAACAACGGAACGTGAAACGTAGATTCAATTCTGGAATCAAAGACAGGAACTTTAAAACCAATTTCAGACGACAACTCGGGACAATCTATTACCGCGTTTAGTAGTTTTTACGCAAAAATAACGTCTGAATAACACCTGATGAGTGGCTAAACGATATACTGTATTCACCGTAAGTTTTCCCACTCGCTTAACGAAAACCCCTCGAAAAAAACCCCTAGGAAAAAAAACTTACTCTGTATGCACGGTTGCGGCGACAGCCTGCTGCCTACCACGGCAGTAACGACGATCGCCGAACACCGCCGACCAATCACAGACCACGGCGACTCAGTGTACATGCGTGAAAGCTGGTCAACTTACGGTGAATAGAGTATAGACCAACTTGGTTAGCGATACCGCAGAGGTAGGCATATTATCTATAAATAAGCCCATTTTAGAGTCAATCATGTGCATGAAACGTCTTTGCTATTTCTCAAGTTTAATGATTAGCCTAGACTAAGACGGATAATAGTCGCGTTTTATCGAATTTTCGAAACGATTTACAAATTAATACGATATCATTTTATTTTATTAGACATAATTGAAACCGTCGACAAATAATATCGAAATCGAAATTTCGGAACCGTTGTTTTTAAACTAAAATCAAACAACCAAACAATTATTATTCTTTTTATTTCAGAGTTAACTTTATTTTTTATATCATTATGTATTTTCCGCGAAAATCGATAAGCGACCCATATCAGAGTTACAGCATTTCCTCCGTCCGAAAAAGTTTGCACAGTAAATGAATAAAATATCCGTTTTTTTTTCCTTTTCAAAAACTATCTAATAGAAACTGACAAAATCCATAAAATATTATTTTTTTATCACATTCGGAACGGGTGAGGGTACTACATTATCACGAATATTATACGTATAGTATAGAATGCCCTACAGTGATGTTATCCTTATGCTAATAACTCGGTCAATATTCTGTTTTGTTTTTTTTTTAATCGGGTTTTGTGTCCTGGAAGCACGTACGTAGAACAATCAATTAATATTCAATAGAAGATATTAAGGGAATTACCGTGTCGATTGTGATTGCTTAACACGTAACGTGTTATTCTATTGAAAATATTGTTTTCACGCCAATTTTGTAGAATCTAATTAGGCTATTACTAAAAACGCTATCCTAGGATAATGGAAACGGGTACAGCCACTGTTATATAGGTAATTTAATGTATACCGGTATATAATAAACCATTGCTAACGAAAAAAGGATTCTGAGCCGGGTTCAGTTGATAGCTGGTGGAAAAGCCGAATAAAAATAAATAAACTCAGAATCTAAAATTATTGGTTGGATATGAATATATGATACAATAAAATGTTTAGAATACTATTTTTAACAAAATGGATATTTCTAAAATTTTGAAAAGCGATAAAATAATAAGTTGTTGCTTTTTTTTCAATAATTTAGGGATAAAAATAAAAATTAAATTTTTCTTTACATACATAATGTCCTGCTCGAACAAAACCCGATTGAAAAAAAAAGAACTGATACTGGGGATGAGAGCGGCCATTGTTGTAGATGTTGAAGTTGGGAAGGTAGGATACACAAAGTTATTTCATTTATATCCGTAAGCAACGATAAACTATTGCTTGACGAAAGACGATTCCGAGCGCAGTTCGGCAATACATAATTTGTAGTGCCATATTTGTTTTTTTGCGATTTTCGTTTAAATTTAATTTCAATACGCTTATTAAAAAGGAAAAAAAATCGTCCGATCATTTTGGAAATTTTACAACATCTAGGTAAGTCCAATATAAGTGTTACCACCAACTTTCCAGTCTCTAAGTATATTTATAACCGAATTATAGATAAAAAATTACCAAAAATTAAAGTTCCTTAGAATCTCAAAAGTGGCTCAAAAGTTTTGGCGATGACGCCGTAAAAAAGTAAATCAAAAGGGCAAAAAAAAAGATATCTTGTGGTTTTCCGATTAAATCATTTTTTCTGATAGAGAATGGTCGTCCGTGTTTTTATAAAATAATGAAATCGTGCAATTGTACGCTTTCCTAATTGTTTTTATTTAAAAAAATTGCGTCAAAAATCAAAAAATGACCTGTTTAAAGTACAATCTAGACCACTTGAGCTTCCAGAAAAGTTGATAGACGTAAAAATCGGAACAATTTCACTAGGAAAAAACGTGTCCACAGACTAGAAGAATGTACAAATAAAAAATAATAATAAACCGCATTGTAAAACCAATAGCTCCATCGCTGCGCTCGGAACCTAAAAACGGATATTGACAGAATTATTAGCATCAGAATAACACTGTAGCCAGGACACTCTGTATACAAAACCTATTACCTAATTAACATTTTCGTATAAACGATTTAAGTATAGGTAACTAAACAAAACAGTATTATAATTTTAGTATTTTCGCGAACAACGTATAAAACTGATAAACGATTTTATTTATCGATTTCGTACAATAAATTCAATAACGCATTGTTTTCTGGACATGAATCGATTTACTAAGACATTCGTTATGTAGCAGTATAGTTATTATAGTAGAAACCCGTTTTTAAAAATTACTATTAATTTCCATTTAAATATATTTTTAATTATGAATAGAAAAAAAAAAAATAATAATAAATAATGCTGTCTACTTTGCTTACTATAGTATAGTACTATATAGTCGTTCGTTTAATTTATACATGTACTTGTGACTACGTGTTTTTATTGTAGTAATGATAAATACATTTTGAGCGTTACGTTTTCATTAGTTATAACTTATGTATCCGGTAAACCTATTAAAAAATAATTTTATATTTACGTTTGTTTCTTTTTTTTTATTAAAGTATCGAAAGTACTAGAGAATTAATTTAAAACATATTATTCTATGTATAATATAATATTTCAAAAACAATATTGTAACCGAACTGGTTAAAAAAAAAAAATAAATAAAATAAAATAAAATAATTTACTTTGAATGTAATAATTGTACATTTGATCCGGTTTTTATAATTTATTAATCGAATTATCGTTTAAACATAAACTAAAATATGTTTTTGGACAACAGAAAGATAAAATAATGATGACGTAATAATAATTTTACTTATAACACTCGCTAATAAATCGTATATTCAGGACAAAAACGACAACAATATAAATTGATTTATTTTACCAACAGATTAACAAGCAACTGAAATTAACAACAGATAGCGATAATGGGTGGATAGTTTTCAAAATTTTTTCGCTTTTTTTTTTTTTAGTTAACAATTTTTTTGAACGGAACGAACGGCTGAATGTATGTTTAAACGAATAATAAGGGTAGACGAATTGTTTTCAACATTATTTATTTCCTCGCATTGAGATTTAACTGCAGATGCAGTATTCTATTTCAATCTGTATTGATGAATAATCTGAAATAATATTTTCGAAGTATCAGATTTCTCGAACTGAACTTTTAATGTCTTATTCGGGTTTCTTTTTTGTTTCTTTATCTTTATGTTATTTTTTATATAAAATAAATGTTTAGCCGCCTGCAGGTGTATGTTTTTATTCTGTACAAAAAAAACATTTTTAATTTATACAAAATTCTGTAAAGTTGGGCTCTTAACAGAGTCTCGTGTTTATTGTGAAATAATTTTATTATATTTCGTATTTATACGTTCGAAAAAATATTAAAACTATTATTTTTATGATTTCTAGATTCTATAAAACACATCATTTGTTTTTATATTTTTGTACTACCAACAAGAAATGGAATTTGACAACAATTTTACTTTTTATTAATTGCTGTCAGTCCCAAATTATTTTTTTGGTCCAAAATATTTTTTTTCTTTCATAATTTATTCTTATTACGGTATAAATAGTGTGCAATAGCAGTTAAGTACATTTTGAACTACCATATCTCAAATAAATCAATAGCTTTGTACAAGACCACTGCAGGGCGTTAAGGGAGTCAGATCGTCAGGATTCCTGAAAGTTCTTATTATGAACAATTTTGCGATACAAATAAATATGATAATTTATTTGTTTTATGTAACCTTCATAAATATTATTTTTTATTGATATTGATTATTTATATGGATATACATATTTTAAAAAAAAAATCAATTTAAGGTAATGCAACAAAATATGAATAATAAGCGTACGCCTTAACGATTTAATATGTACAATATGAGATAAAAACAATAAATAAATTAGTAGTCATGTTGCACCGGCCACAGTGGCAATATTGTCGATCACGTGTAATGGACAACCGTATCAGAATCAATTACCATAAAATAAAATAATCAGCTATACTGATACCACGGACGCCCAGTGGCCTCCCTAAAAGCCTTAATTTAATCAAATTCAGTGAACAGTTGATGGTTTAAATCGACCAAACGACAGTTCGGCATTACAGATAAATACATTTTTCACGGAAAATATTAAATATACATTTTTAATTTCACAACTATTCATGTTATCAAAAATATTTTAACTAATAATTTGATACAAATTTTCATTTTTTTTTTTTTTTTTTTTTTTTTTTTTTTAATCGAAGGCAAAATAATTTTAAAGTATTTATTTTACACATGATTGGCTATATGCTCAATAGAATCTAAATGTAATTTCCTATATTTGTCGATAGATATCGTAATTTTGTGCCTTACTAATAACGATGTATGAATTGTTAAGATTTTTAATATAGGTACCTGCTATTATTAATATATTTACGCTAGAACCGATTTTGATAATATCTCATTACCGAGTAAAATGTATTATTATAGATTCTAGATGAAAGCGAGGAGGAATGTATTGGTTTTACAATGATGTTTATTTTATTTTTATGTGAACTCTTTTTCTACCAGAGAACTCATTCCGATTATCCGATTATCAAGTATACCATCTGTTTTGAAAGGAAATGTTATCATGGCGGTACTTTAGAGAGGTTATTTTTTGATATTAATATTCGAGAAAATAAAGAAAACATGGTTCTTTAGTTTAAAAAATATTGAAAAATTAAAAGTAAGGTTTACATTGTCAACCTTTTTTATTTATTTTTTGTTATTATTAAGTTTTTATTATTTTAAATGTCTTTTAAACAATTATTTTTATCATGAAAACGCACATTGTTATCATTTTACCATGATATTGTTTAGAAAACAACACTATCAACTAAACTCCGCTCAGAATCGTTTTTTCGTTAGCAACGATTGGTTACAGATATACATTAGATTCCCGTCTGTATCCTACCTTACAAACCACCCATTTACAACAGTAGCTTCCGCCCCACGTGCGAAGTATGTCCGTCTTATTTTTTTTTACTTTGCAAATATAGTTAGAACTTATCTTTAATATCATACAATTTGTATTCC